CCACAGTACAGAATGCCATCTTGATGACCATCCACTGGGAGAGATGTCCCTCTGACTTCCTACCAGAAATAATCCTTTTTGCCCTAAACAATTGATTTTCTTCCATTGACCCTAAACGATGAGGCCGATCGTGTTTCTCACTTTGCCCTGGTAGCTGGGAAGGTTTAGAGACCCATTTACGGCCTGTTGCAGGCAAGCATGCAAGATCTTTGGGTGTGAATTTGGGTATTTTTGCCTGCTTCCATTTTCTTGAGTTCCTTTTTTATTCATTGACCTGATCAATGGCTTACTTATTTTTAATTTTATCCTGTTATATGTATTTCACAAGTCACTTTTAATCCTCCTTGGAACAAAGTAGGAAATGAATACATATCTTAAAAACAAAACAGACATTGGGTTCTTCGTGCTGGTCTGTTTCAGTGTCCAGGCCAAGGTTGGCTGGTGCCTTCCCAGCCCCTGACCTTCTTTGACCTTGCACGTGGAGCCTAATTACCCAGACTTCTCCACAGGTCAGCGTTACGGCAATGAGGCGGACGTTTCTCATTTGTGACTATCATTTCCATGACAATATGCAGCCTGAGAACAAAATTATAATTCCAGTCTAAAAGAAGCAAAAGGAATAAGGGCAGAAAGCTGTGAAACAGTGCAGACCTTCAGAGAGATAAATGAAAGGTCATTTCTGTTCTCTGATAAAAACACTGAGTGTCTTTGGGAATGGAGAGTCTGTAGCCCAGGGCAAAAAAAAAAATAAAGGATCCGCAGCAGGAAAGAGCCATATCCTGCATTATTGCTCAAATTATTGTTCTCTTTGCATTTGGATTTCCTCTTTAGAATTCATTCTGGTCCGCAAGTTTCTCTCTTGAAAATTCATGTTGCTCCTCCGAAGAGTTCTGATGGAATATTCAATGAGATACCCTTCGACAACTTAGCTGTGCATGGAGGGTGCAGAATGCGCTGGTTATTAATGTAATGTTTCAATCGTCCATCAACTGTTAGAATGCAAATCGAGCATCTGTAGGAGGCATATTATAGCTGATTCCTGTCATTTTGTTTTTGCGCCTCTAAACCCTTCTCTCCATTAGCAAGCTTGGGAAGATGTGTGTCAGATGCCTCTTTCAGCTCCAAGTTGACAGTAGCTTAAGGAAGAAGCGCGGTCATTGCCCATGCCAGCGTGACGCTCAGGGATGGACCTCCCTTCCGCCTAGGCTGCAGCCAGTCCCTGCAACAGGGCCTGTGTCTGTACTGGGCTCTCAGTCCTGCATCTTCTCTTTTTAGCGTCACTCAACACATGGGCCATATCCCCATTTTGGGCCACAGGATCCAGACAGCCTCTTAGTCTCAGCTTGTAGCCTAGCAAACCTAGAGAAAGGAGCCTTTCTCCCCGTGTCCACACACTGACCCTGCGGCGTCCTGATGAACCAACACCAGCGGCCAACGTGACCCCTACATGTCCAAGCCACGGTGCCTTAGTTGCTCATCTCTTTGTTGAGACGGAGGGCAGGAGTCATCGGACAGCTTTTGCAGGAGCACCTCAAGTGAGGAGGGGGATCCCAGATGAATCAGGAGTAGGGAGCAGAGGACATATGAGACCGGACTTTCTACGAGCCAGTGGTGCTTCTCATAAACTATCCTTGAACAGAGACAAAAACCACTTCCTTCTACGAGGCCAGCATCACCATACCAAAACTGGGTCAGCAGTGGGAGAGTGGTGGATGGCAAAATATGGGCTAGTATCACGTGGCACATTAGATGCAGAGGGCCTAAATGAAATGTTGGCAACCTAAATCCAATTGAAAATATATCTAACTACACACACACACACACACTCACACACACACACACTCACACATGCACACACACACTCACACACACACGCATATATATATATATATGTATATATATATGCGTGTGTGTTTATATATCAGGTAGGGTTTAGTCTAGAAATGCCAAGACCGGTTAATATTTTAAAAAAACACACCTCTGCACACACACTTGTAATAAAAATTCTTAGCAGTGTAGAAAACAACTTTCTTAACTGGATAAATGACATCCATCAAATGCCTGCATAAACAATTTGTTTACTGGTGAAATACTTTTCCTGAAATCCAGAACAAGATAAAAATGCGCACCACCACCTACCTCTTATAATCGACATTTTCCTGGTGGCCCTGGATAGTGAAGTAAACAAACAAACAAAAAAAACAAGAAGTATAAGGATTGGAAGAGTACAACCATGGCAGTTTTTGTTTCTTTGCTTTTGTAGGCAATAACAGTCACCTTCATAGAATAAGCAAATCCAGAGCATCACTGCAAAAGGTATTGGAATTATTGGGTTGTCGGAAAAGTCATGATGTATTTTTTCTATGTTTTTCATTGCAAAAATGCATCGTGACTTTTCCGACAACCCAATAATAACTAAGATCAATCAAGTTTCTAGATTCAAGATAAATACGCAATTCTGGGGGGCACTTGAATTACCCAATGCCCAGTTAGTAAACCATATTTTAAAAGATTATGTTCACAACAGCAATAAAAACTATTAAAAACATCAGAATAAAATGCCTATAGGCTAGACCTTTTGGTAGAAAATTGTAAAACTTGATTGACAAACATCGAAGAAGACCAGAATACATGGACAGTTCCCATTTGTGGAAAAGTTCAGCGTTGTAAAAGTGTTCATTCTCTTTCGTTTGTAAATTTAATAGAATTCCAACAAAAGTCAGAGCAGGGTTTCTCAAGAAGCTAGGTAACATTCATTCTAAAATTCACGTGGAAAAGAAAAGGCTAACCACCACAGGAACACTTACTTAACTGCTCCATGCTAAGCGTCAGGCGCTCTCTCGCATGATTTTCTGTTCATCCTCACGTAGCCTCAGACCCGGCAACCAGACGGGCCACCCAAGAACAAGTATTCATATGTCTGGAAAATTCCAGGGTCTCGGCCTGTGAGCCTCCCCTGGGGGTGCCCCGGGAAGGCTTCCTTTTTTAACCTCGTCGTTGACCGTCCTGCTAGCCCTGCCGGGCATCGAGGGAGGCAGCCGTCACGTGCCAGACTGGCCTCCTACGTGTCTTGAAACATGTATAGTCCTGCTGGTGCCCTGCAGATGGCCCTGGACCACCCAGCAAGCCCTGGGCCGCCTCGGGGCTTCCTGAGCGGGCAGCCGCTCCGCCGGCCCTGAAGAGAGGCTGAAACAGGAGGCAAGAGGCTGGCTCATCACCACCCTTTGATCAGAAGTGACTAAGATGCTGGAAATGGGGGGATGGGAGGCACTGTCGCCAAGACCCCGCAGAGGCCTGGACTCCCGGCGCCAGAGGGTCTGTGCTGTCCCTCTGTCCGAGTCAGGCCCTGTGTGCTCCAGACCCAGTGGACCCCTCATCTGCAAAGACCTCCCCAGCCACCCCACCTGTCAGACAGCTGAGTCCTCCCTCCTCACACCCCACTGCGCCCCACAGGGACTCCGAGAGCACCTGTTTTCCTGCATGGCTAGTACTGTTGACTCAGCCCTCCTCTTATGGGGGACTGTAAGCTCAGAGTGAGCACAGTTTCTTTGTCCCCATGCCCAGCCCACAGCCCAGTGCCCGGCACAGGGAGGGGTCTCTGTAAACATCTGGTAAATTAATCATTGAGCAGCACAATGCATCGCCCCATCCTCCTTGCCTTGACTCTGAACAGGTGTAAACAGCGGATGAGACATACAAGAAATGTGACGTCTGGGCCACCGTTCCCCTCTCTGGGTCCCTGCCTCTGCCATGTGGGGCTGATGGGACTGGGTGGCATGTAAGGCTCTTCCCAGCCCTGGAATTCCCCAATCTGTGAGCATGTAGCTCTGTCACCACTCCTGTGACCAAATCAAACATCAGGTTCCCTCCCTGGGACTGCACGCCCAGGTTATAGAAACACAGTGTGTCGGGGGTACAGCAGTGTGTCCTTGTAAGAGCGCCGGGGGCGTCAGGGATCTGGCTTCTTGTCCCCACCCTGCCATCGAGTACCTTCTTCCCTCTGGGCCTCAGTTTACCCTTCTGTCGAATGAATGAGGAGAATGGCCAGCTGGTCCAGGCCTAGTATTTGAGAATCTGAGACTCAGGTCTAAGTTCCCACGACAACGTTCTATCATCCTGTGATTACGTCACAATGCCTGTGTTCATTCCAGGATTCTACCCGGGTTGTGACACCATGCTATGATGTTGTGATTCTACTTTACAGCTGTTTAACACTATTCTGTATCTTGGCTCTTCAGTTCTTAAAAAGCCTACATGCATTTTTTTTAAAAAAATGAATTCATTACTGTGCCAGCGTTCTGTTTCTTTGAGGGTGGGGTGGAGGGGAACACCCTAAAACTTAATGGCTTAAAATGCAGCCATGTTACTATCTCATGCTCTGTGAGTTGACTGGGCTCCACCGGGCAGTTCTTCCACTCCATGTGACATCCGTGGGGGCTGCAGTGGGACATCCATCCCAATGCCTGAGGTGGCTCACTCCCGGGGGCGCCAGTTGGTGCTGGCTGTCACGGGCTGCCCAGCTGGGGCCATTGGCCAGAGAGCCTTCACTTCCCTTCTCATGGCCTCTCCCTGAGCTTGGGCTCTGGCCGGGTTCCATGAAGCAGGAAGTAGAAACTGCTGGCTCTGAGGCCTGGCCTTGGAGTTGCCAGCTCATCACTGGAATCCAAAGGTTGCAGGAACAAACTCCGTGTGGGGAGCAGCAGGTGTGTGGGGAACAGAGGAGTCGTGGTGGGGAGACCCATCTTTGGAGACTAGCTACCCCAAGCCCTGAACAATCAAATTCAAGCTGCTGCTAAAAACAAAGCCAAGTATTGGTGAAATTGCCATTTGTCTGCCAGAGCCTGGGGACCCCCTAGTGCCCTGTCCACGGTGCATGGTGACAGGCCAGTCAGTGCCTCTCTCCGAGCCTCAGTTTGCGCTTCTGTAAGACGGGGGCCTTGGTCTTGAGGACGTTGGCTTCCTGTGCATCGCTAACCTACCATGTCCCTCTGCGCCCACAGGTACTCCTTCCAGGACGAGGAGGACATGTTCATGGTGGTGGACCTGCTGCTGGGCGGGGACCTGCGCTACCACCTGCAGCACAACGTCCACTTCACGGAGGGCGCAGTGAAGCTGTACATCTGCGAGCTGGCCCTGGCGCTGGAGTACCTGCAGCGGTGCCACATCATCCACAGGTGAGCAGGCTGCTGTGGGGACGCCTGGGGACGGTGTAGGGATGAGTGACAGGAGCCGTCTGCAGCAGAGGGGGCGGGGAGTGTTTCTTCACGTCCCTCACAGGCGTCAGTGATCGGAGATCGGGAAAAGCAGCGCACCTTATTATTGCTTGTACGTTTCCTCGTTACCTGCATTGGAGGGACAAGCCCACTGCCTGTGCGCCCACTTCCCTTGGCTCCCCAGCGCTCAGAGACCTGGCTGGTGGTTGGCATTTGCTTCTCCATTCCAGTGTGTCTTCGGGAGGCTGGAATGTTCTCTCCTGCCAGCCTCAGGTCAGAAAGCTCACATGCTGGTAGAAGGGAGGAAGGGATTGTGCCCTGTGTCTTTCCATGCTTTGGAATCCGTGACGTGCGTTGTGCAGGATGTCTTCCTCGGGGACCCCTCTGTGCAGGCGCTGGGCTGTGGGTGTAAGCTCTGAGTTTCTGCTGCTGCCTCAGGGCCCCGGCTTCTCCCTGCCCGGGCACAGCACCGCCATGTCCCACCACGTGGGCAAAGTGAGTTTGACTGCGGAGGCAGGAGGCCAGCTAGAGGCTTCGGAAAGCCACGGTGTCATTAGTGAAGCTGCCTCCCTAACTGCCGAGGAGGGGGCTAGTGTGAACGGCTCCACGTGTTTTCACTCATTGTGTGCGCTGTGCCTAGCTCATCTCCTTCTGACTTTCGCCATTTTGGAAGACTTGAGAAAGACAAAGACTTGAACTTCTAGATAAAGATGGTAGATTAAGCACACGCACATGTCTACATTTCTCTCTTCTGACACCCCCCAAAAATGACAGTAAGAGATGTTTGAAAATTAACTACACAAGGCTGGGGAAAACCTAAAGAGGACGCTGGGGAGAATTGGGTAGAAGATGTAGATGGCAAATGACTTAGGGTACTAGAAATGGAATTTTAAGTTGTCACTGCAAAGGAAGAACCAAGATTTGATAGACATTAAAGATTTTCCAAAGGCTCAGGAAGAGCACCCAGTAACTAAGGAAAGGGGCGGGGGGATAGGGTGGTGAAGAGAGACTAAAATGAGGTGAATTGTCTGAAAGCTTTTTAAGAAGCACTGGGAACCCCAGATCTACTTACCATTCTAAATAACGGGACGGGCTGCGCCTTCCTCTGTCCCAGCGCTGAAGACTAAAAGTTGGTTTCCTGAAGAGAGTAACATTAAGAGGGTCTAGACTAAAGAAGAGTTACCTGGGTTGGAATACTGGACTGAAAATAGCAAGTGTAGCTAGACATAAATATACCAGGTGATGAAATAACACACCCTCCCCCCATTCCGGCTGGGCTCAGAAAATGGTGTCTGCAGGTCTTCATCCTCCAGGCAGGAAACTCATATGATTCCAGTGAGAATGTGAGTGAGCCAAGAGGGAAGGCATTGTGACATCAGAGGTCCCCCATGACCTCTTAGAGTGTGGTCACCATCAGCAGTGCCCACACATTCTCATAAGCTCCCAACTTGATTGGTGACAACCAAGGATTATCAGATACCTTATAACATGAACACTGAGAACCAAACAATCAAATGGAAAAAGAAGGAAAGCTTGGACGAAACAGAGACTCTGTAAGGAAAAAAAAAATCAAAATAACTATGATCAGTATTTTCAGAGGGATGGAAAAGGATTTTTGCCATTTTAAAGCAAGAAATACCATATTTCCTTAAAACTCAGCAAACAAAATCAGAGCTCTTATAAATTAACAATACAGAAGAAGTGAAAAATGCAAAAGGTTTGTTGGAAGGTAAAGTTGAGGACATCCCTTATACAGCAAAATAAAAAGATGACTAGAAAATATGAGAGAAAATATAAGATAATTAGAGGACCAGTTCAGTAATTTCAACATCAGAAAGAGAGGGATAAAAAAAAGAAAGTGGGAAGAAATCATCAATGAGATATTCAAAGAAAATTTCTCGGACCTGAAATGCGTGCATTTCCAGATTCAAGGGTGTACCAAGGATACAGCGCAATGATAAGAAACAGATGCATGTCAAAAACGAACTAAATCCGATCAGCTTCCACAGAAAAACAACAGGTCATACAGACCGCGGGATCAGAATAGTTTGGGATTTATTACACTAGAAGGTGGTGGAGACATGCTAATCAATCAAGTGTGAGAGCGTTCTGTTTTCACAAGTTCAAAGTCTCAAAAAATAGACCTCTCACACACCTTTCTCAAGTAGGTGTTAGAAAATTAGATGGAATCCACTAAAAGGAAGGGACAAAGGGCCAGCCGAGTGGCTCAGTTGGTTAAGAGCTCGCTCAAGATTGCAAGCTCTGAGCAACAGGGTCGCTGGTTCAATTCCCGACCCGAGCTGGGCTGCCGCTGGGCTGCCAACAGGTGGCAGGATGGCTCAGCTAAAAAATTATATATATATATATATATATATACACACACACACACACACACATATATATATATATACATATATACATATATA